TCACCATTTTTAAAGAGAGGAACTACCTTAGCTACTTTCATATTGTCTGGAAATATTCCTTTTGAAAATGATAAATTACAAATATATGTAAACGGCTCGATAACATAACTCATTATGTCCTTTACAAACATCACATCCATGTCCACCCAGTCTTTTGATCTCTTATCTGTAAGATTCTTTACAACATTCATTATTTCTTCTTTGTCAGTTCCATCAAGAAAAATACTGTTGGCACAACCTATAACTGAATGATTCACATTATTGTCCACTTTCAGTATTTTAGCTGCAAGACTTGAGCCAACATTCACAAAGTAATGATGAAATCAATTTACAATTTCATTCTGATCATAGATTATCGTTCTCCTCCACAAAATATTGTGAAATCCCTGTTTTTACTTTATGATTTTTCAGAACACTATTCATTACTCACCATGTTGATTTCATATCACCATTACTTTTGTTTAATAAATCACTGTAATATTCTTTCTTAAGCTTTCTTATAATCATTACCAACTTATTTTTATACTTCTTGTATTTCTCCTCTGCTTCTTGTGTTCTCAATTTCAAAAAGCATGAATACAAATAGTTCCTTTTTTTTAGTTTGATGGGGGATGCAGATCAGTTCAAAAATTATTAACATACCTGTCAAGTCTCCCAGCAAAGTGGAAGTGGCCCATGGACCACCAGTTGATACCAGTTTGAGCCCACTGTGTGACTTAGGATAAGCGCCAGATCTACCAAACAATAACTGTTGAGTGAGTATGGCGTGGTGAATCTTTCATTGATAGATGAAATCTATACTGGACATGTTTTACTTTAACACCTTCATCCATGTGTTCATGTCAATGCGGTAAGAATCATAGAATCATAAAATGTATAAAATGCCCTTTTGTTCCTTCGCATTTAAAATATTCAGTCTCAAGCTGTGTGAATGACTGTAGATAGTGTAAATAGTTGTTACTCGTGAAAAATACATAAATGTGCCAATTTCTTTCAAATGAAATTGCATAATTTGGGAAAAATATCTATAATCCACTATCAATTTATTGTGTACAGTTATAAAATTGGTGTTAGGTTAGAGAGGGGGGCCTGTGAGCTTCAGTGCCCAGGGGCCTCTGGGGTTACTAATCCGGCCCTGCTTAGGAAATGAAGAGCCTGACAATTTTTGGTTTTAAAATTTGCAGACTCCTGTTAAAAATATGTTTCTAAACTTTCTTGTCAAATGAGTGACTGACAATAACAACCTGATTCAAATCTCTACTCATCTTTCATACAGGTGTAACTCTGCACAGTGAGGCACAAACCCCTCTCTCTAACTTTTGTGTGTCCATGCAGTCCCACTGCCGGATCCAGAGATTCTTCAGGAGCTGCAAGTTCAAGTCTTACCTCAGGATGAATGCAGAGCCACGTATGCTGAGCTGCAGGACACCATGCTGTGCGCAGGAGACACTGCTGGAGGGAAGGATGCCTGTAACGTACGTCTAACCTCAAACATCAGCTCAAATACACACCTACACCAAATCCTGCTCTCCATGAAGCTGTGGGTACATTTGAGGTGTTAAGTCAGAGGCTGAACGTTGAGGCAATTGGCTCAATTTAGAAATATTTATCGAAAAGAACAGATGGAAAATGTCTACTACATAAATTACAAATGTAACATACATTGTTTTATTATGATGAGTCTTAGTTTCTCTCCACAGACAAGGAATGCAAGAAAGCCTTCATACAGGGTGATCCTAGTTTTTAGCTTCTATAATTCTTGCTGTGACATTGTGGGCGCAGCCAAAAGATTCTTATATTCTTGCATAACTTACAAATGTGTACTTTTTTCAATCGTGTAAATGACTAAAGATGAAGGTGTTAAGTCTATTTTACCTGCAGTACAAACAGAAAAGTGCAAAAACGTTCATTGTTTTACAATTTAAAAGTCACGAGTTGTGTGTTTGACACCATTAATGCACAGGTTCCAGCATCACAATGTATTTTCAAAAATACATAACGAAACAGTTTCTGGATCAGAACACCGGCCACTAGGGAGTGCAAGCCAGACTCTCCCTTGTTCCGGTCCCAACCTCGGGTAAATGGTGAGGGTTATTTCAGGAAGGGACTTGGATCCGCAGGTTGGATGTGACACAGAGGAGCAAGCTCAGTTCTGGAAGGATCTGGATGAAGTGATAGAGAGGGTTCCCAGGGAGGAGAGAGTGGTGATCAGAGCAGACCTGGATGGAAATGTTGGTGAAGGAAACAGAGGGGATGAGGAAGTGATGGGTAGGTTTGGTGTCATGGAAAGAAACCAGGAAGGACAGATGGAGGTGGATTTTACCAAGAGAATGGAAATGTAGTCACCACTTATTTCCAAAAGGGGGAGGAACATAGAATGACCTATAGAGGAGGAGGAGGGAGGACACAGGTCGACTACATTCTGTGTAGAAGAGGAAACCTGAGGGAGATTGGAGACTGTAAGGTTGTGGCAGGGGAGAGAGTGGCCAGACAGCATCGGATGGTTGTGTAGAATGACTGTTGTTGTGAAGAAGAGAAAAAGAGTAAAATCAGAGAAGACCAGAGAAGAGACAGTGGGTATACTGGTAGAAGGATGTTAGAAATGCAGCTGCCAGGAAAAAGACAAAGAGGAGATATATGGATGCAGTTAGAGACATGGAGGAGGATGACTCACAGTGGAGACGATGAAGAGTAGAAAAGCTGAAAGAAGAGTCTGCATTATACTGGATCAATAAACTGTCAGACTGATAAAGTTATAGCACAAGTCAGTTTAGCCCTCCCAGAAAACTAGTAAATAAAAAGTTTTTAAATTGTAACTTGTTAAGATTTTGCCAAATTCTTTAAAATGACCAATACTGAGAGCATGTTTTAATTTTCTCCTTCTTAATCTGTTTATACTCTTCAATAAAGTGACGGGGTGGGATGACATAACTGCACCCGTGTGTAAAATATGTTGTCAAACAATCTGAGCATAAGAAAAACAACCTTTACAAACTTAAATCGTCAAAAAGTTCACAAATAAGGATTTTTACTAACAGGGATTTACCCTCAAGCTCACAAATGTGTGTTTTCACACTCATAAAGATTCTTTGGTGTAAAAATGATTAATACAAGTGTACAGACGGTGTGACGCACAGGCTGGGCTCCATCTGTGAACAAACCAGCCAAACAGGATTTTGGCACTTCCTGCTGTCAGATCCTCACAGAGACACTATACAGCACGGCAGCTCAGTGGTTAGAACTGTTGCCTCACAGCAAGAAGGTCCTGGGTTCAATCCCCAGCTGGACCTGGGATCTTTCTGGATGGAGTTTGCATGTTCTTCTCGTGCTTGCGTGGGTTTTCTCCAGGTACACTGGTTTCCTCCCATAGATCAAAAACATGCAGGTTAGGCTGCAAAAGAGATCTGGGATCTCAGTGGGATTTGCCTGGTTAAATAAAGGTCAATACTAATTTATATATATATATGTATAGATAGATATGTATGTTTTGCATTGAAGGGCTGTGGTTATAAGTGGAAAAGGGGTTTTCAGAGAACTCTTTGTAAAGTTGTTTTTCACATGCTCAGATTGCTGGATGCACATTTACAAATTTCGTGTCTGTAAATTAGTACTTTGTTGTAAAATATTATAAAAAGAAACTGTCCTGACATGGTTTAACCTGTTTTTTTTGGTGATTATGAAATAAGTTTTATGTTTTGTCCTAAGTAACGTCCCCGTGCACTGCATGTCAGAAACATCTTGTTCATGGTTCTGCTCCTCCACAGGGGGACTATGGGGGTCCACTGGTGTGTCGTTCAGACAGTGGTTATGTGCAGGTGGGTATCATGAGTTTTGGGAGTCCCGATGGTTGTGGTATCCCAGGCCGCCCCAGCGTCTACACCCAGGTGTCCAAATACCTGCACTTCATCAACGATTACATCAACCGAGGCGACGAAGGCTCGGCTGATGCCTGACCTTCAAGAAGCTGAAGATTGTAGCTACTGCTTGAACCATGTGTTGTCCTGTCCTTGAGACCAGCCCTTACTGCTGAGTTATTGTCTTTTACCAACCTGCAATTAAAGCTTAGAAGCATCATCTTTTGTAGAATTTCTCTTTATTTACAGACGTTAAACTAAAGGCCACGCATTCCTTAAAGAAATGTATTTTGTATGTTTACATTGTGAAAGGATGAATTTACAGCCCTTCTGGTAAAACCTCATAAATGACGTTATGCTCAAATTCACGTTTTCCGACCACAGAGACAGTAAATCCCAAAAGTTAATCAATAAAAGGAACCAAAGGTTTCGCACACGACTAGTCCTTGGAGTCTGTGCTGGGCATCAGCCTCAGCTGCCAGTATACCAAAACTGAACCAGTATCTATCAAACTGACAAGTTAGAGCTACTTTGATATTTTCTAAGGTCAGTGCGCTGCGGCAGCCATCTTGAATTGGGATGACATCAAACTTATTCAGTGGTACCTCCAATAAGTAGGTCCTAAAATGTAAATGAGATATATATTTGGCAACAGACAACGTCGACTCCAATAGCTGATTGCAAAGATTTAAGAACTGAAATCAGTCTGCCTTTAAATGTGTTACAAACGCATGGAAAGATGACGAGTATTTTCTTAAGAGTAGCAGGATTTCTAAAAACATTCCTTTTTTCTGTCTCTACAGACAAGTATCTTCAGGGCGATTTAAGAGTTATATTCAATAAAAATAAATATTTCAGCAATATTTCAGGTTGTGCAGACGCCCAGCACTCTTCTTGTGCTTACAGTCATACCAGTAGAGGCAGCTATTATCAACAGACACGTTCAACCAGAGAACCGACCTAATATGAAGCAAAACCATTTGACTGCTAATAGGAAATACAATTTAATATTAAAAAGAAACATTTCTTTTTTATTAACAGCAACTTTGACATTTCAGAACAGGGCCTGTCCACATAAAGATGGTTTCATTAGCAGAAAGCCATGAAGCAAATCAAATATTCACTTCCTGAACCAATTATTCTGTCAAAATGCACAAATGGAGTCCGATTCTTTATGCGATTGAAAAGGCTGGACTAAAAAAATGTCTGCAAATAACCCAAACCCACACACACATGACCAGGATGAGAAGATATTTTCAGTCACAGTTTATCCTGAAGTTCATATCAGATGTTTCATGTTTTACTCTCAGAACTGCCTGTATGCATCACAGCAGCATGGCTGGAATGTTTTGTACCTGAAATAGTTTCAAAGCTGTCTTACTATCCAATAAATAACTCTGCCTGCAGTAATAAGCTGTTCCCTGTTAGAGTCCAGCAGCAGGAGTTTCTCTGTCCATGTGGAGACGGTCTCTGTCAGGGGAGCAGCTAGGCCGTGGACTGTTCCTTCAGATTTGTACTGGAGTCTGGACCCGGCTGAAGAGAGCAGCTGTTTAGCTCCATCACTGAGCTCTCCTTCCTTGTGTTGTTCCTCAGCTCTTCTTCTTCAGCCTTCCGTTTCTCTGCCTTGGTTTTGAACCGCAGCCCATGGCCTGAAAAGCACAAAAAGCACACTGTGGTTTCCTCAGCAGTGACACAGAATGAGTCACAAATACAACTCAAACTGGCTACACCTCAGTCAGTTTACAGATATGGAGCTAAATCTGGTGTGCTAGAAGTTGAGAGTCCTCCTTAACACTTTCTCTGGTACATCTCACAAGATCTCTAAATACCACGAGACTGTGCATGACATCATTTACAAGGTTTGACTAAAAGAGCTTCAGCTCTGCCCCTTCTCAACATTAAGTAGATGATATTAGAGATGCACGATACTGGGTTTTTGGCCGATATCCAATATGTTAAAACTTATTTGGCCGGTAACCAATACCAATATTTTTTTCCTAGACCTACTTACAGAGACTACAAAGGAAGAAGCAATTAAAATGCTCTTTTTGTACCCAGTCCTCTAATGTCAAATTTAAATGTTAAATTTTATGCCTTATATAGTAGTCCCTCGTTTATTGCGAGGGATCTGTACCCTGAAGCCCCGTAATAAGGGAAAAACCACGAAGTAGGAATAGTACAAGTAGCAAGTAGTAGTTTATTTTAGTGTGTGTGTGTGTATATATATATATATATATATATATATATATATATATATATATATA